CTCTCTCTCTCTCTCTCTCTCTCTCTCTCTCCTTCTCTCTCTCTCTCCCTCTCTCTCTCTCTCTCTCTCCTGTTATAAATTTAAAAGCAAATATCACTGAATCACGACTTTAGATCTGAATTATTTTATTGGAGAAAATGATTTTTAATTCGTTAATAAATCGCGAAACAAATCCAAGGGATCAGTGCATAGGATATATGTGTTGGAGCCGTTTGGGCCGACACTCACTACTTATGAAACAGCCATTTATAGTATGAAACGCTTTAAAAGTTTATCTCGAATTAAAATTCAACTGAATTTTTTTCATTAAACAAAAATGATAAACTAAAACATAAAGTAAAATAAAAATAATAATAATTACACAATATTTTTGAGCTTCACTTCGATGGCACTGCGAAAGTGATTTGAATTCAAGGCTTTTTGGACTTAATTTTTTTGTTCTGATAATTCCATATCTATTTCATATCAGCTCTGAATTCATAACTTATATGAAATATTATTATTTTCATATTCAACTTATTATAATTTTTCATAATTATATTTTATTTCAATCTCTGTTAGTTTTAGATAAGCAGTAAAATTATATATAAATCTATAGTGTAGTCAATTTTGAACAATTGATTTATTTTTGCCATTTTTTATGTGTTATTCCGAGTCTGTCGTGTTGTCTGTGTTTGTGTTGTATTGAAATCAGTATAGAATTAGCGATTCACTGATAAAGTAAAATACAGAATCGATTTTTTGTTATATTCTACACTAAAAACCCTATTATAATAATCAGTGCCTTTCAAACTCCGGGGCTTATTGATTGTGTTTGAATCAAAAATGCATCAAAAGTTATCATCAAAAGCCACTTATCTATGAATAAAATCTTTTCATATAATTTAATCGCATTCTTGAGTTTCATTTGGCTTTTTGTCAAAAAATTAAATTAAAGAATAAAAACCAAAGAATAAAATAGATATTCAGTGCCTATATTACGAGGAGATATGTGTTATACTTATAATACATTTTTGATTAAATATTTTTTACATTTACATCAGACTCCAAGACATTGCGAGAGAGAGAGAGAGCGAGAGAGAGAGAGAGAGAGAAAGAGAGAGAGAGAGAGATTGTTCGTAAGGCACTCCAAGTGTGTACTCAAACGTCAAAAAGAGTGAATTTTTTGTTGCAATTAAATGATCAGAGAATCAGATAAACAAAAGCCCGTTCACTATAATTGAGATTTCACTATATATGCTGCAAATGTTATATTTTAGTACATCGTACCAGTAAATGTATTTTAATGAATGATTATCTCTGAGTTTTATGAGTTCTTATATGTACTATTAATCTAATCATTAATATGAGAAGTAAAATATGTTAATGGGGTCGTCCAATAAGTACTTAAATTTGGATTAACAATTTAGTTGACAAGATTTCTAGGAGTAAATATTTATTTGTCAATGTACAATTATACTTAAAATCCCTAGTTGAAGTGAACCTGAGCTTTTAAGCAAAATTCACTAAATATTCTAGAAAATAATTTTCTAATAAAATAATTTTCATAAATTATTAAAGAGAATTTTGTATTAGTTAATAATATTTTTAAAATTATAGCTAAATATACAGTAGTAAGATTACTGTATAGAGAATTAGATTTTATCGATTTATAATTTATTAAAAGTATTAGATTTCAAACGTTGATTAATGAATAAATATATGAATTCTGTTTAATTTCAATCATATTTATAGTATTCATAACACAACTTCTCATTTTCATAGCCTTGTGAATGAATTTGTAAAGATTTGGTAAAAATTGAATTTATAATCTAGAAACTTTATGATTAAACCTCTATATTAATTAGCGGATAATCCTTGAGATGTACGAACAGAAAGGGTTTAATTTAGTGTCGAAAATAAACTTCTTATCAAAATGTGAGTTACAATAATAAACATAATAAACAATGAATGAACGGCTAGTGTCCCTGATTAAATTCTAGCGGTTTTGTTACGACTGTGGAAAAATGCCTTTTTTGTCACTAATGAGTGAATAGATATATAATAATAAGTGAACGACTGATGAATCAATTGTTATTAGGAGTTAAGTCTTATATGCGGTTATTATCTATTGCTGTGACAGATGGTCAGGTCTGGTGTACAATACTGAGCGATATCTCGCCATCAAATGAGGTCACAATAAGGGAACCGATAAAGTTTGTCAGCGATTCACGCCAAGACATGGCACACAAACACATCGATGACATCGCCGACAACAACCACAACAACCACCACAACAGCGCTAATTGCGAGACGACTGATGTGGACGACGAAGACGAAGACGGATCGGTTGCCCAGAGTTTGCCTGAAGACGAAGAAGAGGAGCTCGAAGTCGACGACGACTGTAAGATAAACGCCATTCAATTCATAGACACAATACACGTATTGCTTCACAACAACAGAATATTCTGTATTATTTATGACCCGCTATTATGTGCCACACCATAGAGTTTAATAGCGTTTAACTCTATTTAATATACAGTTTAATATTTCGGCTAATATTTGCCTGTCTTTCCTAAAGGCTTTCCATAAGTTTTATTAGTTTTTGAAATTTCTTTGAAATTGATATTTATTTTGGAGAAAGTTGCGAATAAAAGCTTTTTGCTATTCTATAGACAAAAATAATTTATTATAATTGATAGGATATTATTAGACTAAAAAAGGTTGTGATATTTTGTTTGCAATTTTGTGCAGTGAAATTCATTTTAAAAAAGATTTTATATCATTATAAGTTATTAACAATAATTTATTATCAGATAAATGATTTAATTTTGAACTCAATATTCTTATCAATTATAATATTCTTTTGTATGTTTAGTAAGATATAGTTTCAAGTCTTATAAATTTAACAGTAATTATAAATCCTGTAATTTCTGGTATATTCTTGTATCTCTTGAACTGTCCCGACAGACAGGAACTGTATATTTAGTGGACAAACATTTTATAACTCATTGCCTAAACAAATCGCATGACATAATAGCACAACACATAATATTTGAATAGAGAGCGCACCTGTATATCAGACAATGAAAACTCTTTTATTACTTTACGGCTTAAACTTTGAGATTTCATTTTTATTAATATATTGGATCTGGTATTTTGAATGATAGGTTATACGTGTGTTCCCTGCGGTATAGCCTTCTCATGCAAAGGTAAGTCCCATTCCTGTAAAACACACTTATTTTATAGTCCTTTTAAATGAATAAATGTATGCAATCACATCTCTCTCTCTCTCTCTCTCTCTCTCTCTCTCTCTCTCATTCACTCATTTCTATTTTCTATTTAATTTATTAATATTTAATTTTACATTTATTATATAATTTGAATGAATATTAATCGTTTGCAATAATCTTATTTCAGTCAATAAAGAGTTAGAATATTTGAATAATTATTGGAAATATTTATGATACTGTATTCAAATGAATTATTCAGAAACTGATTGTGAAGTAAAATGTTTTGAATTGAATGTCTGGAGCCATGAAATGCGAGGAATTCATGTTTGGCTAAGAAATAGCATATTTTGCACGTTTGACTCGTTTGCATATTATGTAATCAAATGACCCGAACATGAATTGCCCGCAAAAACTAGAGTTAAGAGTTGTAATTAAGAGATATAAAACTTTTTTACAGACATATAATACTTAACACAACTTATAACTATCATAAAGTTTGAAACCTTTTTAGAGTATATAAGGATCGGCACAAAATGTTTCTTTATTTTTGTATTTAAATATTTGATATAAAAGTTGCGATAAAAATCTTTTATAAAATTCTTGTCTGTAATTCATTTTATTTCACAATTTGATGAAATATACAGAAAACTAAGTTTAATGTCTTAATAATGCTGTTTAATTCTGTAATCAAAAGCATATGCTTAAGAATTTGTTGCTAAAAATATTCGCCGCTTTTTATATTCATTTTCATTTCATTATTAAGAAATAGTTTATGATTTTTATGATAAACGCTGTTTAAAATTTTTGGTTGCATTCAATTGATATTTTTGATACGAATTATGCTCCCAAAAAAATTAAACTCAATTCAAGTCATAAAATTGTTTATCAACCATTCATTGCATTATATGTTATAAACAAAAGTCTTTACAATTTGTGTCAATCTATAAAGTGATTCGTCCGATGCTTAACAGTTGTAAAAAATTTAATTAATTTATACCTAAATATTAAAAATATTTACAAAATCATAATTGTGTGTGAATAAGTGGAAAACGCTAATTATAAATCACTTTATAATAATTTTTAAAATACAAAACTTTATGTTGAGTTAAATGTAAAAACTTTTGAAAATCACCAAAACTTTAAATTCTATGAGAATTGCAATACAATAAAAACCGGTTAACTATTATCTCAACGACAATAGACTCACAAATATTGATAAAATTGTAAACAAATCTAAATTTAGGAGAAATTGTTTAATCAGTGAATAATGTATTGATATCTGAGAGCAGACCTCATGAGAGCTAAACTCAAGTCTTGAGACCACAAACACCACTGAATGCTAGTCTACCACTGAATGGCAGTTATTGATAATCGACTCATTAGTGCAATACATAACTGCTTAGCATTTAATGTGATTTCAGAAAATGTTTGATTCATTGAATGATTCCGTGATATATTCAGACAATACATATATATTATGGTATTTGTTGGTAGACTTCCTTCAGATATATTATTATATCATATAAAACATTACATAAAAAAGTGTCAAACCTTGTTCATAGCAATAAATGAATTGAAAAATACAAACACATTATTCTTAGCCAACAAATACAGACATAAATGAATTGCAAACAAATTTTAATACATAAAAATTAATTGAAAAATACATGTATATTATAAAATGACTCACTTTTAACCAAATTATCGATTGTCTCCGATTCGGTCATATGTTTGTAAGCAATGTCTGAAAGTAAAGTCACAACTCTATTAAATGAATGCTTATACTCGGGTCCTATCGATGAAGTATTTGTGAATTTAATTGGGATACGAGAATATGATTTAAAACTAAAATATTTAAAAAAAATTAAAAACGGTTTAAAATTCATTTTGTAATTTTTAAAAATGCAAAATATAGTCGTTTTGAAACTTTAATTATAATCCTTTTCAGGAGATTAAGACATTTTAGAAACTTACCTAAAGTTTGTGATGACTTTTCCCGGGGCTTCAATTGAAGTCCAATTAATTTCATGGTTTCAGTTGTGAAGTATTTAGTGTTCATTAGATTGAAATCATATGTCTTATCAAAATCTAGGATTAAATGTTTGAAAGTTTGTAGTGATTGACAAAATCATTATCGCTCTCTCTCTCTCTCTCTCTCTCTCTCTCTCACTCACTCACTCACTCACTCACCTATGGAGTCGTCATTGAAATTCTCATTGAATTTCTTGATATCAAGACTTCTGACAAAACTTTTCATACAAATGTGTCTTTTGGTGACCACTGACCGAGTGGTCCATAGTTTGCCACAAATGACACGATTTATAACATAAAACATCTCAAGTGATCACCGATTGTCTCAATTGTCAACCAAATTACAAAATAACCACAAATTGAAACACTATTTGTGAACAAAATTCGAAAAAAGTTTTGAAACTGTGTTTTGAAGATTACATGAAAAGTTTTGATAGTTTTTCATTTGATATCATTGATGGCAACGAATAGTATGTGAAAAGTGTTTAAATGTGTTTCGATCAATGCTTTGACTATAGATTGCATTCACTTCCCAATTGTAACCGGAATTGCATTTCGAAACCAAAACAAACTTTCATTAAATTCTCGGAATTCTGTCACTCATTATACTTAACCACAAATTACGTGACGTCCAGAATATTGTCCAGAATTTGCAATATAATCAAATCTGAATGAATACACGAATAGACAATTTGTTTTGAATCACTAAAATATAGTGAATTATCTTTATTTGTCAATAGATTTGCTTAAAAATACATCAATTAATGCAGACTTGAGATTGAAATGCAATCAATCATTCATGCGATCGACTAATGAGAGAATGGGTTGAGAAACAAGTGATACAAACATTTGAATCAAACAATCATTTATTATGAATAATCATAGAAATCATCGACTCTTATGGCACTGACATCGGAATCGGTGTATAAGTAATGAATCAGTTGTCAAATGAATGCATGAATTTTATGTAACATTTTGTCGGTTATTATATAACTGTCTAAAGCTATGGGCAATAAATGTGTGGCCATTGAGAGGAAACAACAAAAAGTTAGTTTTGAATGAAAAAACAAATCTTTAATCGATGAGAGCATTGAGAGACAAATGCATGGTTTGTGTTGTCGTTTAACAACACTTTCAACACTTATTCCTCAGTTTGTTGTCTACATTACTGACACAACATATCGTTATTATTGAAACCAAGAGTTTGTATTGTTTTACAAATAAAACAAATGCATGGTTTGTGTTGTCGTTTAACAACACTTTCAACACTTATTCCTCAGTTTGTTGTCTACATTACTGACACAATATATCGTTATTATTGAAACCAAGAGTTTGTATTGTTTTACAAATAATTTGTGTTTTCAATGCAAAAGCTTTTCAATTAATTCAAATCATAAATTGAAAAGAAAAACAAATATTGTTTTACTGTAATATAAGTGTGTTTCTCACATGTTTTATTTCTGATTAATATTATCGTTACTCTATTACCAATATTTTATTTTGAGAAAAAGCATTTGTCATAAATCTCAGGTTATATAGAATATTAATGTTGTCTAAATCCTTGCACCACATGAGAGGTCCGAAAAAACACACACAAAATATATGCGCTTTTTGTACACATTATCTGTCGTTCAAAATATTAACTCTTAAACTAAAGAATATCAAGAATTGTATGATTTTGTGAGATAACTGTACAGTAAATATAATATATATAAACTGTAACACAAATGACAATAATAAACATTTCTATAATTTAGTAAAAAGTAATTAATTCATCAGATATTCAAAAGCAATTTGAAAATGACTATCAAAACAGAGGTGTGAATATTACAGACATAAAAATATGAATGAATTATGAAAAAATAATATAATAATAAAACTTATATTTGTATCAAATGTTTTTTGTTGTAAACTACGGTCATTATTAGCACAAAAAATGAATTTTAGTTTTTATAGACATATATATTATAAGAAAACTTTTATACATTAAATCAAATTAAACTTAGTTTTGAGAAATATCTTACAAAATGTTTGATAGACTTGTCATTCATTCGATAGCTTTCGTCCAAAATATAGTCAATGAAGAGATATATTGTATTAGAGAGAGAAAGAGTAGTGTTTTGTTGTGAAATCGCTTTTATATTATATAATTGTGCGGTAAATGTAATGATGTGTTTGTTGAACAAAATTAAAAAACCAATAAATCATAAACAACTAAATCATAAACCAATTACAAGTCATTTTCGAGTTCTACTATAAATTATAAGCAATTTTTAGTATTTTATTGTTTTTATGAATTCAATGAATGATTACGAACTTTAAATAATTGGTTATAATTTGTTTGTTTGCAATTTAAACATGAATTGTCTCGTTAGAAATTATTGAACTTTTGTTTTACTTATAATTAAAATGTGGAAAAATGATGAATTATATCAGAGTTGAAGAGTTGCACAAATTGTTTATCTGTCAAACAATACACAAAACGAGTCATTACTTCAAATGATTACAAATGAAAATCAAAATCATATGAAAAGAGCCGCAAATGGAGTAAAAGCTTACAATTATTCCGATTTCTGGGGCGGGGGTTGTGTTGTCTCTAAAACCGGGACTGGTTTTGAGGTGTCTTCTGATATAGAGTTGGCTTTCTTCGCGTCATTCACTGATAAGTCATTCGTTTGTTCGTTGGCTTTGTCTACGGCTTCTTCGCGAATCGCTTCCGAGGGCTTCGGCTCCGAGGAGTCGTTCGTATTATTTGTATCGTTAGTGTTGTTGACGGCCGACGTCTTCTCCACTTCGTTCGTCTCCTCCGCGGACTCGGCCTTCGAGTTGTCGATGGCCTCCACTTCGCTCTTGTCTTCCACCGAATTATTACTAGAGATGGAGTTCTTTGGCGGACGACCCCTTCGCTTAGGTGTTCCCGAACTCGAGTTATCCTATAGTTTACGCCAACAAACACAACATGTAAGCCATGGGTCGGGCGCTCACGCAATACCGGTGCCATACCTTGGAGGGCGACTTAGGGGTGGCAGCCTTCTTAGGAGTGGGCGGTGTCTGAGCCGCGGGTGGCGTTCCCCGAGTCTGCGATCGCGTCGTCCGGCGATTGCCGTCCGGATTCTCGTCGCCCTTATGGCCCAAGTTGTGGAGCAACGCTTCGCCCTCTTTGGCCGTCTTCTCCAAGATGTTCAGCCGTTTGGAACTGCCTTTCGCTGGTCGACCCCTTCCCGCAGAGGGAGGTGTTGTCACCACTGGCTTCGGCTCATCCTTTGCACCCAAAAAGACAATACACGTCAACACAGTGTCAACGAGTGGACAGACCTTTCAATGACTGCACTTACGTTCACATCATTTGAGAGTTTAATCTTCTTCTGCGGCGAACTCTGGTCCACCTCTTCAGTGCCATTGTCTTTGATCTCAGAGTTTTGATTCGTGTCCACCTATTGGTCGCAGCAAACAAATCACACAAATTAACACAACTTTGAAAAAACTTTGAAAAACTTTGAAAAACTTTCAAAAAACTACATAAAAGTAGACATTATTTGTGTTTTTAGAGCGCTTTATGTTGGAGAAGCAAATGGCGAGCAGTGATTGGCTGCTCTGACAGCCAATGAGAGGGTCAGGTGTTGTCAATGCATTGAAAGGTATCGGCGTTTTGTGAGCCAAACAGTGAGTGCAGTGTTTGCAGTGGTTTTGAGCGCCGAATGGGACGCCATTTGTGTCAATACATACACATTCATAGGCTATACTATGGGCTATGGCTTGCATTGAAAACACACACACATTGAATGGCACTAAACATACGGCTAAACACCGATTCACACACTATTTAGGGCCATATGTAAGGCACATACCGATGACACATAGGGGGGCCTAAGGGGTGACTACAGGGCAGGCAATGGGGTGGAAAGGGGTCTGTTTGGGCGACTGTCACGGCATTTGGCGCCCATTGTCGGGGCCGGAGTGTCGGTGCGCTGTTGTCACGGCATGCGGTGGTGTGACCACCGATGGGGTTGACCTACCGGTAGAGTGGGTGGTGAGGGGGCGTCGGCCACCAGCGGCTGACTGTTGTTGGTTTGGATCTGCGGTGCGATTGTGTCGGACATAGCGTTGAGACCAATGGATGTCTGGAGGCGTCTGAACACGGATTGGATTAGTGTTGTAATTGTCACTCACTTTACGGTACGACTGGTATACACGAGCACTGGTTATGCGATGATTGGATCACTTGGATCACTGCCACAGACAATGCTTGGATGCGATCAACAAGACTTAGACATGTATGCGATGTATGGCTTATGTATGGCTTGTGTTTTGTATGCCTTGCGTTCAATTCAATGGCTTTTTTCTATGCGTTTGTATTGTGGTGTCGATTGTCGGCCCAAAACACACACACATTACTGCCTCTGCTGTCGATACCATCGATGTATCGATGAGTGGCATATGAACGCCAGACACAGACTTCACCAGCGCGTACACCCTATACAAGCTATTCGTACGTGTTTTCACCATGCTCACTTGTTGCCATGTTTGCTAGATACATTTTGTGTGAATTATGGCAATTTAGTTTGAATTTTCCAAATGTTTGTCCAATTGTATTGCGCTATAAATACCGAAATTGCATTTAATTGAAAGCTATTTCATAGGTGTGTAGCGCAAGTAGACTGTAGTGTAGTGTGTGAGACACCACTACATCTATACTACATTATCAGTACTACAGTACACTATCTGAAGCCAATTATCTAACATTTTATTCAACATATTATTCATTATAAAAAACTTTTTCCACTTCACTTTATAGTGAATTAAGTATCAAATTTTTAGTTCATTTTATTTGCATTCAATACACCATTTGAATAATTATCGCATTTTTCAGTTGTCATCAGTTTTTGCGAGACTTCTTATCGTTTAAAGTTATTTTCTGTGGCCTTATAAAAGTTAGCATAAGTTGGCACTCAAAACAATTATAATTTGTTTAATTTGACGCAAACTACTTTCCCATCAAATATATAGTTCAATGATTAGTTATTTAGTATTTACTGTATTGATAAATGGTATGAGAAATGACTTTTTTCGCCTCAATTTAATTTTGATATCATTTTATTGAGACAAGACATTGAATTCATTGAACATATTTCACTGTTATCTTTGTCACTACAGTACAGTGTATTTTAAAGAATAATATTTTTCATATTAAAGAATTTTCCATTTTGAGTCAGAATTGTACTGTTATTTGATCTATAATTCTGTATTCGTTAGTATTATTTGAAGTTTCATGTAATATTAACAGAATATCGATATTATTTTTATTACCACATATCATTATTCTTGACTTTATAACAAGTTTCATAACAATTATTATTAAGACTACTATTTGATTCAAAATAAATATAGAGATTATATAAATATTCTACAGTCAAGAATAATGATAATATGTGGTAATAAAATAATATTCTGTTAATATTACATTATATTTGATTCTATAATAATAGTTAGTACTAATAACTTATTAGTACCGGTAATAACTTGTTAGACACTATTATAGCATTGATATAAATATAAAATTGAAATCATTCTTGAAATGAGTGTCAAAAACAGTGTCAGAGTTAAGAAGAAAATTGTAGATAAGAATTGAAATGTACGGCCAAACCAAACACTGACTTTTAACTCAATGTTTGCGTTATGTTTGTTTAATCCATGAAAAAGAGTTAATGAACTCTTTATATTCAGTCTATTTGCTTTCAATTCATTGTCTGATATTCTGCAAACAAAAAATTAATTATATAGTTTTCCCGTTCAATCAAAAACAGTTGGTGTAATCATTACAGTATACTTACTGTTGCTGTCTATGGAAAATGGTATTAGTACATTTATTTGCATTGAACATTTCGCTACAAAATGTATGGTTGACGACCTAATCAATGACTCGAAAAGTTGTTTATTAAATATCGAAATCACGTTTGAAAACAAAATTTGTAGGAAATTTGATACAAAAATACGTTATACCCAACCACTACGATATTAAATACACTTTTATTATAATTGCTGTAATAAAATCATGTTTAACACTTACTATAATAACTTACGGTATATTTTCATAGACTATTCACATTCATTCATATCATAGTACAGGAATCCAAACACATATAAACAGAATATTGAATGAAACTATTCTTTATTTAATTTCGATTCAATTGTTATAAAACTAAATATATTTCTAATATGTAAATAAAATTTATGAATTACATCGTATTCTCTATACATAATTATAAATACAAATAACTCGTTACATACAAGTTGCTTAAAATTAACATTTTTATTTCAAATAAACTATATTTATAATTTAATAATTTGCTTATTCTATCATTTTTATAATACTATAAATTTAACAAAAATTGTTGTCTTTTATTTATTTCATAGTTGTCTCTAAAATACTAATATTTTATGTTATATACAATAGTATACTGAACTGTACTGTATAATTTCAATTGTATTGTAGATATACTAGTTAATAAAGTGTTTAGGTAGTGTAACATACGGTATATTGTAGTGTGAGAACAGGAATAACTAACTATTTTAACTGAAACCCTATCTAATCATCAAAAGAGAAGCTATTTATGAATTTATCGGACTCTTACATTTCACTCAATTGTAAATTTTATGTTAAGATATCTTTTGCGATTCGTATACTCGCTAAGCAAACTGTTTAATGGATTTTTAGACTCACATTAGCTGTCGGTTAATAACAGTCTGTGCTCTAGTCCGACTCGTAATACATTTACAGCGTATTTCACAATATACTGCATCGCAATGTATAGTAAAATTGGTATAAATTTAATGGTAATTAATAACATCTTTTGAACATCTGTTGTCTCTTATGTTTTTCATATAGAATTTGTTCTCTTATGTGAGCAAATTGTGTCAATTTGTGTAATAACTCTTTCAATTTCAAGTCAAACTTTTCGGACACCATATCAACTAATTGTGAACAAAATGAACACAGATTTCCAATTCATACAAACAATATATCAATTATATTACAAATACTAGTTGTAATTATTTTTAAAATACAAAACTTATGTTGAGTTAAGTGTAAAAACTTTTTAAAATCACCAAAACTTTAGATTCTATGAGAATTGCAATACAATAAAACCGGTTAACTATTATCTCAACGACAATAGACTCGCAAATATTGATAAAATTGTAAACAAATCTAAATTTAGGAGAAATTGTTTAATCAGTGAATGCATTGATATCTGAGAGCAGACCTCATGAGAGCTAAACTCAAGTCTTGAGACCACAAACACCACTGAATGCTAGTCTACCACTGAATGGCAGTTATGATAATCGACTCATTAGTGCAATACATAACTGCTTAGCATTTAATGTGATTTCAGAAAATGTTTGATTCATTGAATGATTCCGTGATATATTCAGACAATACATATATATTATGGTATTTGTTGGTAGACTTCCTTCAGATATATTATTATATCATATAAAACATTACATAAAAAGTGTCAAACCTTGTTCATACAAATTAATGAATTGAAAAATACAAACACATTATTCGTAGCCAACAAATACAGACATAAATGAATTGCAAACAAACTTTTTGGTCAAACAAATGGACATATTATGAAAATCGTTAGAAATTATGATTAGTTTATGAGATTTGGTTTTTTAAATGCATTTTTATTTGTATACAAATGAAATAAGTTATGATTATTATTATGTGCTATAAATATAAATATATTTACATTTATATGACATAAATGAATAAATTTTCAGTTCAATTGAAACGATTGTTGAGTTATTTGAATGAACCGTTTATTAGTGATATTAATAACAATGTGTTGTAAAGAGAGTAAAATGAATAATAAATTCTTTTCAAACTTATTTATTTGTTTCATAATTGATTAGAAATGATGTTTAAATAACTTTTGATATAAGTTTAATGACAAATGGTTATAAAATGTTTCAAATAAGAGTTACATGAATATAAAATTTAAAAATAAAACAAATTTAAGACATAATCAATGAAAAGAGTATTGAGAGACACATCGAAACAAATGCATGGTTTGTGTCGCCGTTTAACAACACTTTCAACACTTATTCCTCAGTTTGTTGTCTACATTACTGACACAATATATCGTTATTATTGAAACCAAGAGTTTGTATTGTTTTACAAATAATTTGTGTTTTCAATGCAAAAGCTTTTCAATTAATTCAAATCAAATTGAAAAGAAAAACAAATATTGAAAATGACATTATATTCACACAAAGAGTGTACAAAATAAAGACTAATTATAATAGCAATGAGATAATGGTTATAAAATAAAACTCTTTTTCGTAAACAGTATTTAGAGTCCAATATATCTTATAATTGTCTAAATCCTTGCACCACATGAGAGGTCCGAAAAACACACAAAATATATGCGCTTTTTGTACACATTATCTGTCGTTCAAAATATTAACTCTTAAACTAAAGAATATCAAGAATTGTATGATTTTGTGATAACTGTAGTCAATATAATATATACTCGATTCATACAAACCTTAATTCTTTGAGTAGTTTTTAATGAAAGCCAATATGTTTAATATGCATCTCCTGTCTGATGGGCACCTGTAGTCCAGTCCAAGCACGCCATATTCCTGGTACGGAATTCCAGCCCTAGTATCGTAAGGAATGTCTGCCAAACCCTTCAAATATTCCTCAGTGATCACCATTTGGCAGAAGTAAAACTTAGTTTCCCTCACGAGTAGTGAGAATATAGTTTCACAGGACTGGTAGGGAATGTCAGATGATTTGCAAAGTTTCCGATTATATTCAGCCGAAGCAAGTGTTTCCCCAAATGTTTGCATTTTGTTGAATTCAAATTCAAGTGAACCTAAAAATAATAGTAAAAGACATAGTTTTATATAATCTATATTTTAACACAAATATAATACTTTTTATGTAAATACATTTTATGATACAAATCAGTAGTAATTAATTGAATCTCATTATCAAACTCTGGGCTGTGTTTCGGACTCTATGTTTGTCTGTCATTCTTAGACATGAAAAATGAAATATTTCTTTATTTTAAACTAAAATTAATATCAGTTTTTAGATTGTGTCAGATTTTATATAATTAAAAAATCATTAATACTTATCATTAATTAATATTCTCTCTCTCTCTCTCTCTCTCTCTCTCTCTCTCTTAGGAAAAACATTTTGTTATTAAGTTTGAGAGTTTGAGAGTAACATTAAGCCGGGAATATTCATTGGACACAAGGATTGATTGAATAAAAACTTTCATCTCTTTCTAAAACTAATCCATTAATTAAAACAATGAGATATTCAGTGCTTTCTCTCATATCTGTGTCTCAAATCAAATCATTTACTAAATTATTGTTTTGTGATTAAAATAAATAAAATACTAAAACAGTAAAAGCAATGAATGAAAGTGAGATAACACATACAAAATGAGTGTACAATACATTAGAATTAAAATAACCTTAAATTGAATTGAATTTAAAATGACTTCAAATAGTAATANAATAAATGATTGTTTGATTCAAATGTTTGTATCACTTGTTTCTCAACCCATTCTCTCATTAGTCGATCGCATGAATGATTGATTGCATTTCAATCTCAAGTCTGCATTAATTGATGTATTTTTAAGCAAATCTATTGACAAATAAAGATAATTCACTATATTTTAGTGATTCAAAACAAATTGTCTATTCGTGTATTCATTCAGATTTTATTATATCGCAAATTCTGGACAATATTCTGCACGTCACGTCATTTGTGGTTAAGTATAATGAATGACAGAATTCAAGAATTTAATGAAACTTTGTTTTGGTTTCGAAATGCAATTCCGGTTACAATTGGGAAGTGATTGCAATCTATAGTCAAAGCATTGATCGAAACATACATTTAAACACTTTTCACATACTATTCGTTGCCATCAATGATATCAAATCAAAAACTATCAAAACTTTTGATGTAATCTTCGAAACAAAGTTTCAAAACTTTTTTCGATATTTTGTTCACAAATAGTGTTTGAATTTGTGGTTATTTTGTAATTTGGTTGACAATTGAGACAATCAGTGATCACTTGAGATGTTTTGTGTTATAAATCGTGTCATTTGTGGCAAACTATGGACCACTCGGTCAGTGGTCACCAAAAGACACATTTGTATGAAAAGTTTTGTCAGAAGTCTTGATATCAAGAAATTCAATGAGAATTTCAATGAC